GTCTGGGAGTCCAATTTTGGACCACTTTTTCAAATATCTGGGAACGTTAATCGGCAATAACACGGCAAATGTTGGCTTCCAATCGATTCAACGTTGTTTGTTTATTTCCGTAGACTAACGACTCCACATATCTCCACAGAATTGAATCCGGTGGTGTGAGATCACACCACCGTGGAGGCCAATTCACAAGTTCATTGCGCGAAATTATACGGTCATCGAATGTTTCCTGAAATAATAAGTTGATTGTGTCACGCGCTGTGTGGCATATTGCGCCATCTTGTTGGAATCAGAACTCTTCCACACTAACGCCATTCAACTGGGGAACAAGAAAGTCAGTAATCAAGAATCGATACCGCTCTCCCTTGACTGTCGCTTTCTGGCTGACATCATTTTTAAAGAAATATAGGCCAATGATTCCACTAACCCAACAAGCACACCAAGCAAGGAGTTTTTCTGAATTATCAATCAGAGTATGCGTAGTGCAAAAACGATTCATGGTTGTCCGAATAACTTGCTGGGATGGACGATTAGGTATGTCGACCGTAAAATGGACGTAACGTACATAGCGGAAGTTTCGCGAAATGAATCACGATTTTCGAAGTAAATTTGTACAATTTGCAAGCGTTGCTCCTGGCGTAAGTCTTTTCATAATGCAATGGCAAGATATAATGAACGGAAATGAGCTGTCACCTGTCAAATTTACTGTCACTAAGAACAGTGTTACTAGGTATAAAAACAAACCTCTAAAAAAAACACCCTTTATATTGTTACAGGACGGAGATTACGGAAACTTGAATATTTAGTTATTACCACATCATCGTCATCTGGGACCAGATAACTTCCCTTCGGGTGGTGAGGCTGAAAAAAAGGGCGGACAGTCAAACGTCGGGTATACCCCTGCAAAGCTAAATAACCAAACCAGCCCTACAGGAAAATCTAGAAAGCCTTTTCACTGTAGGTCAAAGCCTGGGTCGTCAGGGAGTACCTGCCCTGATAGAGATACGATAGCGTATTAACTTTATCAGTGATAGTTCCCCAACTTTGAGTCGTCTCTAAACACCTACTGATTGCAGCGAAGCGCTGAGACACGACTAATTTGCCATAGTGTGGCCCGGGCTTTTATATCCAATATTTGCTGACTATGATTAGGTTAATTTGTGTTTTCTTGCTTAGTTGCAGTTATTTGTTATAACCCGTGGTTCAGTGTTTTGAATTTGGTTATAGCCCGTGGTCCCATGTAGGGTTGACAATATAATACACTATGACATTTTTCTTAATTTTCGTTCAAATACTTTTGTTTTATTATGTAGGTTATTTTTTTTTTCTACTTTAAATTTAATTTGAAAACGAAATTTGTTCGATTTAAAAGTGGTTCATTAGAACGTAAAATGATCTGTAGAATCCAAAAAACAAAAAATATACAGGGTGTGCCATGTGCCATTTGAAAATCGAAAGTTTCGGTAATTTCCGGTAAAGCCGGAAGTCCGGAAAACTTGTCATGAATGCACAAAAATGGCATTTCGTTAAAATATCAATCCTACCGAGTTTCGTTGATATCAATGAACAAATAAAAAAATGGCAGCCGGAAAGTAATCTCGTGGGCACCCGGTATGTTATTCACATATGGATACACCGAAAGCGAACAATTATGTTGACAACATATCCAAGACATGCTTAAATCGTTTTTCTTTGTTTAACACGCAAATCTCTTATGAGCTTTATCTTTCTTTTGTCTTGTAAGGCCTCTTATTGGCCGCAAATTTGGAAAAGTGACAAAGAAAATATAAGGTTAAGTTCATTTGTTTACATTTACTCTGCGTAAGGAGAAGGAGACTAGAGAGTTTGATGGAATTTTTATAATATATTGATTTACTGACAACTTAAACTGGTGGAAAAATAGTACTGTTTACAGTTCAAAAAATGCTGTCGAGTGATTTCTATTCTCATATTTCAATTATGCTATGCAAGTGATTGATAAGTGAATAAAATATACATATATCTACCAAGTCTTTCTAGATACGTTTGGCTTTTTTAGCTTCTGTTTTTACTGGCAGAGTTGCTCTATTGCAATGGCTTTTAAAATTAACTAGAATGTATATTGGTCTATTCGAAATATGGAAAGCAAATGGCAAAACCGGCACTCGGCAGAACGCAGAAATCAAAACAATCGACAATCAAGCGAGGGTTGCCAATGTTGCCAAACCATTTTTTCAATATAAGAATACTACAATAATAGTATATTATGCAATGATCATTACATGAGAGTTGCATACACTATTTTTTCTACTGCCATTGATAAAACTTGATGATATTTAGATATGTCAACATTATGCTTAACTTTGAATAGGGATTTTATAATTGGAGTAATGCTTCCATACAGTTGAAAGTTTCATTTTTTGTTGTAACTCTTCAAAATATACTATCAAAACATTTTCTGAGAAGGATGATGTATTTTTGGTGTTTCTCCAATCCATAAATTGTCCATATAATTTTTCGTAAATTTTCTTGGACTTGTCCGGTAGTATATTATTAACTGCATTTGTCGCCCTGTAATTTCTGGAGGTGAAAATTCTTCGTTATCGCTCAATATTTCCATAATAATGCCTTCTCCCAAACTTTAGGTATTAACTTTTAATAACAATTTGAAGTATTTTTTTTATAAAATTATTGTTTTTCGCTAAATTACCATGGAAAAGCTATAAACAGAGTACTGCCAACATTCAAAAAAAAATAATTCAAATTTTTTTAAATGGTGGCGCCATCTATTGACAATGTATAATAATGAAGAAAGTAAAAATTCTTCCTTATCATTCATGATTTCCATAATAATTATTCTTTGTCCCAAACTTAAGGTAACTTTTAAACAATTCGGAGTCTTTTTTATAGTTATCAAAATAATTGTTTTACGCAAAATCACCGTTTAAAATGTTTACTATCTTAACTAGTGCTGCCATCTATCAACATTGTATAATATTAAAAATGAGTATTATAATGAAAATCTGTATCGTAACGAAGTTCATTATGATACAGATTTTAATCGTTTAATAGCGTATTATGAAATGTCAGTAGAAAAATGCATATTAGAGTATCAAACAACTTTGTATTTTTTTTTTCTTACATCACCCAGTAAGGAGATATCGTCGGATATCGCACTAAGTGGACACCCTGTATATGTATATTTGGAATCAGGAAGAAAAGATCTTTCATTTTATCGCATAATACATATACAGGGTGTTCCATTAAGAAAAAGTTGAAGTTGTCTACGTTTTTTTCATTTTGCGATGCGATTTTGTTCCTTCTGATAACGTCGAAAGAATATGTATGTACCTATATAGAAAACAACTGTCAAGTTTTGTATTTATTTTTTTTTTAATCTTAAATAGTAAAGACTGTAGGTATGGGCTCAAATATCATCAAATACCCTGTACCAAATAAATGATAAATACAGGGTGGCCAATTGAAAACGAAACAGAGGTGATTTCGGGCTCCCCAAGACATTTAAGAAAAAACCCTCGTACCCGTCAATTTTTGATTTAAGGGGGAACCATTTTTTTGGTGTTTTCACCCCCTGGGGGGCAAAGCCCTAGCGGGGGTGACAAGGGCCCCCAAAATTTTAAATGGAATGAGGGGTCGAGTGATACCTTATTTTGAAGCTATTTTTATGTAGATTATAACCCCCGAGTCTCACATCGCTACTATCTACCTAGCCATTACAGGGGCTAATTAAAGTTACAAAAACATGTTGGAATATTTTTATTTAAAAAAATGCTTTTAAAACAAAATCAATCAAGTAAATGCTGAAAATGACCTCAGAAGAAAAAATCTAACGGGCTTAAATCTGGAGAACGCGGGGGCCACTCAATATTGACGAGCCACTGCAGCATAATGGGATGACGCACAATCTTGTTGGAATATTAGTGTATGCATCTGTTATCATTCTCTAGTATCTCCACCAATTCTGGATGAATCGCAACTCCTAACCACTCTAGTTACATGTCTCCTGTTAAATTTATAGGTAAGAAAGGGGCCTATTTACAAAAATGCTAGCCCAAACACTCAAATAATCTACATCTCCATAATGCCCTAGGACGTTATTTCGTACGTATTATACCTGAAAATATTGTATGTATACCTGGAAATATTGTATTAAATAAATATTGTATTGAATATAAAAAAATTGTATTAAATAATGGAGTATAATTAAATGGTATTTTGGTTGATGTGCTACTAACCCCCTTTTTCGTTTAAGTTCCTCCTCCCTCACCATTGAAAAACTCATAACCCAATTATTTTTTTTCAATAAATGGAGCAGCAGTTTGTATATTTCTCTGATGAATGCTCCTTTTTTCTTGAACGGTACGGTGAATCGTCTCAACTGCCGCTATTGGGCTAATTCAAATCCCAGAAAACATATTTCGTGAGGTACATACGCAACATCCCGAGAAATTGAGTGTTTAGGCTAGCATTTTTGGTAACCGTATAATAGACCCCTTCTTTACCTATAAATTTAACAGGAGCAATGTACCTAGAGTGATAAGAAGATGCGATTCATCCAGAATTGGTGAAGATACTAGAGAATGATAACGGATACATGGAAAACCGTCTAATATTTCAACAAAATGGTGCGCCACCCCACTATGCTGCAGTGATTCGTCAATATTTGGACCAAAGGTTTCCAGGACAATGGATTCGAAGGAGAGGCCCCCGCGTTCTCCAGATTTAAGCCCGTTAGATTTTTTCTTCTGAGGTCATTTTCAGCATTTACTTGATTGATTTTGTTTTTAAAGCATTTTTTTAAATAAAAATATTCTAACATGTTTTTGTAACTTTAATTAGCCCCTGTAATGGCTAGGTAGATAGTAACGATGTAAGACTCGGGGGTTATAATCTACATAAAAATATCTTCAAAATAAGGTATCACTCGACCCCTCATTCCATTTAAAATTTTGGGGGCCCTTGTCACCCCCGCTAGGGCTTTGCCCCTTAGGGGATGAAACCACCAGAAACATGGTTCCCCCTTAAATCAAAAATCGACGGGTACGAGGGTTTTTTCTTAAATGTCTTGGGGAGCCCAAAATCACCTCTGTTTCGTTTTCAAATGGCCACCCTCTATATATTCGCGACTTGAAAGAAATATTTATTTAGTAAGTGAGACATGTCATTTTGTAGAGTTATAAGTGTAGCGACTTTTAGATAACTTCAGCCAATCTTGCACTGCCCTTATAACCGCCTGGTCGCTCAAATTGACTATCGTTTCTCTTCCAGCAAATGTTAGCTTCACAGCATCTGTATATAGAAAAACAAATTAATATTTAAGGACTCCGACGTGTCGAAAAAACTTACCATTAATTAAACTAAACATCTTTGTATCCTTGAACGGATATTTTTGTTGATACCGCTCATCTTTGGGAGCGGATCCAGCCCAGTTGAATTGCATCCCAATTTCATTTGTGATTAGGAACTTCATCATGTTCATGGTTGCACCTCTAACAGTCGAGCCACCAACTGCAGCAACGCGACTTCGCTTTAATTATTAGAAGTTTTATTAATTTAACAGTTTTATTGCAATTGACTCAAAAAAAAAAGAAAACTCACCATGTAAGTGAAGTTTGTTTGGTTTTCGAGCCAGGATTCAAAATCTTGGAAGTCTTTCTTATGATCTATTGGAAGATTGGGGGTGTCAACTGGTCGAGTAAGTGCTTGAACATTCTTCGTCCTGACCGTTGACAGAATCTCTTGTAAAATTAGTGTGTGTTGCTTCTGAATAGCTTTGAGGCTTTCCAAGTCATTTATGACTTTTTCTTGGTAGCTTGTTGCCGGAATTTCACTAACTGAGTCGATTGAGGGCGTAGACCATCTACTGCTACGGGCGGTGTCTCTCGAAACTTTCAAAAAGGGTGTGGATTGCTGCGATTGCATTCGATGCTTTTTTGAGCCAATATGGGATGGTGTTACGTGCTGCTCTTCAACCTCATCACTCAAACTTGGGCTACTACTAAGTTGTGAGCATCTTATAACAGAAAAGAAACACAACACTTTTTAGATAGGTACTTTCCTATCACAGCACAAATATTATTACCAACAGCTAATTTGATTAAAAAAAATCCCTTCACATTGCTGCTTAGTTTCACGAAATCAATCCACTCAGTCATTAAAAAATATGAAGCTTTGAAAAACCAACAATGCGAAAATCCATTTAATTTTACTTGGAAACTTACCATCATCTCCAACCGCTTTTGAAAATGGTGGAGCTCAGAAAACATGCGTTTTCTCTGCGCCACCTTGTATTTTGAAATTTTTCTACAAAATCTTTCTGAAATACACCTCGACAAAAAATTAATTTAAAATTAGTCCACTCCACTTCAAGAAAAAGTAGAGCATTTTCAATCAAGTTGCATAAACAAAATATTTTCAAATCAAGCTCAAGTAATACATACACCACAACAATACTTTTTCTATGACCATGTTTTGCTATACAGTTCAAGTGAAAATATTTGCAGTTATATGGTTTCGGTTTGAGGGCCCTGGGACCTTCTACATTCACTGCTCTAGCAGTTTGAAAATGAAATTTTAAGAAGCCGTCATGTAAGAGTCCACAGAGCACCTGTTTTAAATACAAAGGCAAGTAACATAGAAGCCTATTTTGCAAAGAAGTGGATTCACATAACCATGAGGTATTCTGGAAGCATCTTGAAAAAGAGCACCAAATAAATATCAAGTTGTGAAAGCAAATGAGTTAAGAACGCAATTGCATGACCTGGACTATGAAAAGTAAAAGAAGAACAAAACAAAACAACTGCTTACGGTTTTTCAGCTTCACTCTTGCCAAGATCTGATGGTCCAGGTTGATCGTAGGCTCTTTTTTCAGGATCTGAAGATGAAAAATCATTTTCTAATTTTTCAATGTCTTCGTTATTGTCATTCTCGCAACTTTCATATCCTAGATTTGCTACGATTTCAACATCCACCGTATCAGGTTCATCCTCATCATTGTTTTCATCAGATTCAGGGGCAATATGAATTTCAGATTTGATGGCATCAGATTGACGTGGCCGTTTTGCTAGTGGCTCCTCAGTTTCTTCTTCTTCAGCCTTTCGAAACTAATAATCATATTGATATTCGAATTTATTCTAAAATGTGTCAGATTTACCTTATTGCTGGGAGAGTATTGAAGAAGATCTAAATGAAGAGATTCTTCATCAACTTCAACTTCTTCTTTGACTACAGTCTCTGCTAAAGGGTTGATGGTTAGATTATCATCATCATTAAACCAAGACAATAAAGTCTGTTCCGATTCTAAGGCGGTATTACGAAACGCGTACAAGAAGTTTAACTTATTTGAGCATTCATTGCAGATTTTCTTTGGTAGTTGGTCTTCTTTGGATACCTGTAATTGAATAAATGGAATATGGTTAGAGATAGACTTAAGATTCAAGTGAATATTTTCAAATACGTAATTACATGATATTAATCTATGAAAAACTATGATTTGATCGAGGGGTTAATCCTCGGTTAATCACTCCCCGAAATCGTGTCAAAAAGGACCCCGCACACTTCTTATGGGATTTTGGTCGAACGCGGAATTTAACCAAATTTTGGTATGTTGTATATTTCGACCTGCTGAGTAAAAGTTCTCATGGGTACAACCGGACCCTATGACTAGTTTCGGATATACAGGGGGTTTTCTAATACTACCTTAGGCAACCTATGTACCTATATAAAGTGTACATAAAGCAAAAAAACTTGCATGTATTGCTTTATCTACAAGCGTTTGGTTATGACGTTTTTACATAACCATTTTCTAGTAATTGAGTTATGTTATGAGACTCATAACACAACTAGTGGTGTTATAGACTTGGTTATGAATTCATAACACAACTAGTGGTGTTATGGACGAGGTTATGAATCTATAATACAACTATCTTTGATGATTTGACAAATGTCAAAGGTAAATCTGTAAAGGTAAAATGAAGGTAGACAACTATATACTAATAAACGAAATTAATTGAAAAAACATTCTTATTTCTCGCTTTGCAGATAAAACGTTGTACATCACACGTTCGTTTAAACATGACTACAAAACTCGAGTGAATAGAACGACTCGGTCTACGACCTCGTCGTTTTAATCTTTCACACTCGTTATTGTAATCATGTTCATAAACGCACTTGCATTGTAAATAACTATTAAAAGTTGTTTATTTCATCTTTCCTTAACTTAAAATGTTTCGAGGGGTGTTTCACCTACCAAAAATTTGTACACCACTGCCAAAATTAGGCAGTGTTAACAACACTGCCTAATTGCTAACCATCAATGCCGTCACTGCTGCAAAAATTTCCGATTTGCTATAATTTCCGAAAAAATTCCGACAAATGTCGTAACAATGCCTTCACTGCCGCCAGCATTGCCGTAAATGTGATGCATTGCCTTCAATGCCGACAACACTGCCTTCAATGCCTACAACAATGCCTTCAATGCCTACAACAATGCCTTCAATACCTACAACAATGCCTTCAATGCCGACAGCACTGCCCTGAATGCCGCAAGTATTGCTGTCATTATTAAATTGCATATCAATGGAGTGAAATGGCATATTTTTCTTATATTTGTTAGAAACTTAATGTATCTACATCTTCTTAAGATTTTTGAATGATTGAAGGAATCTTTCTTTTGTTCTGTAAATGACTGCATTTTTTTTCAATACCTATCTTGAGACTGAAAATTGCGTTTTCTTTTGGTCGAGATTTTGTTATTTGGAAAATCACCAGGAAAATCACGAGGAAAATCATAGAAACTGTCAAAAAATTTGCAAAGCTTCTAGAGAAAATGCTGGAGAAAATGTTTAGTTTCAGATTTACCAGGAGACTTTTGAAATAGAAAAATACATTTCATGAACATATGATTTATTGATTATACCTCGGATTATACACTCGATTAAACATGTATATATACTACTGTTTTTGAGTTACATTCTTTTCAAATCTTTATACAATTTATTTATTTTATTTAAATCAACCCTCTTCAATTGGAATGGGCTACTGCCTACTAAATCGATCGGACCATAAAAAATGAATTGTTTGTCAACTAGCTGAATGTCTTCTTGCTTAGGCCAAACGAAAGCATCTAATTGTTTTATCAAAAACTTTACATTACATTCACTGCCATTTATGTTCAAAATTCTGCCAAGGTACCACTGATCATCATAATAAACACTGTAGTATTTTTCAGTTTCTATTAATATTTCGGTTTCGATTTCCGTAGTAGGTGTGTCGCTAGGTGCCTCAGTAGCTAAATCTACCATAAATTCTCCGCCACTGCTTTCCGATTTATCAGATATATATTCTGTTTCAGTGTCTGTTTCAGTTTCAGCTTCGTTCAATTTTAATCTCGATTTTGATTTAGTGACTTTGGTTCTTTTTCTTTTTGCTGCTGTTTTATGGTGAATTTTCTTCTTTCTTTTAGGTCGAGTTGTAGGTTGCGACGTGGCCGAGGACATGCCTTTAACTCTAAGTAGTCGATCTGTCGACAATCTTCCCTGTTTTTCTGAGAAAAACCAACAGATGCTGGATTTTTTTACTGTCATTTGTTTTCCATTTTTTAACGTTACCATTATGTATGAGCTACTTTTATCACATGACTTATTTTGACCACTGTTATCTCTTAAATTTAAATTCTCCATGTCTTGAAGAGTATTAAGGTCTTCTTCTAGTTCATTTAAGTCATATTCAGACATATATTCCTCCTCTAGTGCTTGACTGCTAGTTTCTATTTCCAAATCTGAATCAATAATTTCCTCGATAATTTCCTCTGCATTTCCAGCTGTCTCCTCATTTGCTCGAACAGAATTTTCTCTCAAATGAACGATACTAAAGTGTTCATCAGTTACTACAATCCCAAATGATTAGCATCTACCCTAGCATTTTCTTTGGCATCAATAATAATTTTTTCAATTTCTGCCAACTCGAGTAAGTCATAATTTTTTTTATCTTCAACGCCTCCAAGTCTTGCATTATTCTCCCTTGGAAAACTGAAAGAATCCCCTAAAAAAAATTAAATAATTGAAGATTTGCTCAAAATCACATTGCTTTTTCTGAGATATTTTCTATCTTTGTATCACTGTTATTGCCTATTAAAATGTGAATTAATACTAACCTAAATCACTAACAACTTCATTGAGGGTTTGAATTCTAGAGAGTCGGCGAAGAATATCTAACATTGAAAAATTAACTATTGTAGAGTACGTAGACGTCATGGATCGCGTCTGCCTGAAATTTTTTTCACAAGGTTGACTTGAAAAAAGCCATGGAAGAAATTGGTCTGGAGTGTCCCTTATCTTCTCGATCAAAATAACTAATCCATGTCCATTCAACTCTATCCCCGTATAGGTGTTTGACGTAATAAAGGATTTTTCAGACAGTTTCTCATTATAAAGCCAATGCCGCCATGCTCGCAAAAAAAAAATTGTATACCACATATTAAATAATCTTTCGCTGCATTTCAACGATTTGTCCAAGAAGGCTTTGTCAATTTTTTGCATTAATTTTAAATACTGAACAGTTCCCTCACTTTCAGGCAACTTTTGCAATGTATTTATCACAGCTTCAGAACATAACTTTTTAGCAGCTTCAAAGTTCATCTTATCTGCACCTGGAAAAATATATATTCATAGAAATCAAACCGCGGGGTGAATCGCGGGTTAAAATTTGTACACTAAAATGCCTAAACGCCAAAAATGCATCAAAACTCCCGGAAATGCCGACATTTTTCGAAAAATGCCCCGAAATGCCCCTATATTTCACAAAATTCCCAAAAAATGCCCCAAAATTTCGGCATTTTATAGAAAATGCCCCAAAAATTCCCAACTTTTCATGAAATGCCTCAAAATTCCCCAAAATGCCTCGAAATGCCCTTATAATACCTCGAAATGCCCATATAATACCTCGAAATTCCCACCACTTGTACATTAAAATGCCTCCGCGGTTTCGCCCTCGAATTAAACTCACTAATAACTTACTATCTAAGTCAGACTGGCATAAACAGTGTATATCTTTGGAAAATTTTTCAATCATCTCAGCAAGAATTTTGGAAGATATTTTATGCTTTCCCATGGTCAACGTTATATTGGGATTTAGAAGTCTTGTTTTCATCTTTGTCAAAATATGTACAGTGTCTTGAATAACTACGGGGGATTTTAGGTTAAACTCCATCTGAAAGAGAAAAAATTAGGTATCACCTCAGGTATTTCACTATCAACTTGAGCTTACCTGGAAATATGGCGATAACCAATTTTTCTGACTTTTGTCTGGAAAATTCCAAAGTTCCTTCATTGCTTTCAAACACCTAGTATCCCCATCTGACGAAAAACCGTATATTTCAATTCCATACTTATGGGCTTCAGTAACTACAAACGTCCATCTGTTGATAACATCTTCATAACTAAATTTATTGTTGCTTCCGAAAATGCACAAACAAAACGCTGGGACTTTATCTTTCAAGGGCTGAGCCATAAATACGTATGCGTTGTTTGTGATAATCTCTTTTTCAAAAGCGTTTCTAATATCTTGTATCGAGGATACGATAAATTTATTAGTTACTGGAAAACCTGTATTATCTTTAGGCAATAGCACGCCCACTAACTTGTTGGACTTCGGGTCATACTGGATCTTTTTCAGTATTGCCGTTTGATCTTCACTTATGAAAACGCTTAGAGGAAGTTTTCTTTTTACTAAATAGTTTTTAAGTTCACACATGCTGACAACACCTTCTATTACTGAGAGGTTCTCATTCAATGATCGGCGCACTGATGACAATGATGGTAATATATTTTGTAGATTTTTTTGTAAAGTTTCATAGTTCAGTTTGCCTCCAATGATAAACAAGTATAGACAGAATTTTTTGAGGTCATCGGTAAATCTGTTGTTTTTAGCAGTAGAAGAACTATTTTGCTTTGCATGCTTTATCAGAAGATTCAGAAAGTTATTCATATTCAGTTCTGCGAATTCATAATGATCAGCACACGACTTCAGTATGTTCCTCTCGATGTTTTCATTACTTCCCAAAACTTCCACAATACGGTCTTTGAGTTCAAAAAATGATGTTATTTTTAATTGATGGTCAACCTCCAACTCTAGCTTTCTTAAATTTCTCTGAGTTCGCGAATATTTTTCGTCTTTCCATTTACACTTTGCATCCTTGGTAGGTTTTTGAGGCTTCTCGAGCTCATTTTCTGAACTCTTTTCTAAAGCAGCACTTCCTGCCTCACTGGAAGTTCTGCCTTGTGAAAAAAACAGATTCCCGTTATTCTCCAAATCAGGTAATGCCTCGGGTAATGCTAAGGGCAATATTCCAGGTTGTACGAGAGTTTGCATTACAGAAATATCGTTGTGAGC